TATGATAATGGAATGGTAAAATTCCTTGATAAAACATAAAATGACAAGATATTCAAATGCATCTGCATATTCCAATAACCTACAGAATAAGTAATCATTCCATCAGTTGTGTATTAACTTTTAAGTTCTACTCTCCTAACCCCTAATTGACTAAGCAGCTTCAAGACCAATCTATTTAATCAGAAATTACTGAAGAGGATATAAACACAATCAATGTATACAGTATAGTACAGAGCAGGGACTCAGTTTACTCATGTGTAATAATGGGGACAATGACATTATTCATTACAATAGAAGAACTATTAGGTTTTCTCTCTGTGTGTTTTGCAAAAACTCAGTGTCTCGCACATGCCAGGCAAGTCCTCTACACCTCCAGCCCTACTAAGTACTATTACTTTGTACTATTAGGATAATAATAATAACCACTGCAGATACTATTACTGAGCTATTATAAAGATTAGGAGTTCATTTATGTTAATTATTTAGTACCTAATATATAGTAAATACTATGTCTTGTTATGATCATAATCTGTCACTACATTTATCAAAATTATCCTGCACAAATTAGGCTTTGTTTCTACCAAAAATAGACCCTTACACACCTGATTCTAAGGGTCATTGGAATAGAACAGAGGTTCTTGAAAGGAACAGTACTGACGTATAGGGAACATTCTAGAAATCTGTGAGGGTAGTTTGAGTTGTCACTAAATTGAAGAGAAAGGGAAATCCTGCTTCTGCAATGTAATAGGCAGGGACAAACAATGCCAGATCTGGTCCTATGATTTACAGGGTTGGTCCCACATGACAAAATTATCTGGCTAGTAACTCTATTAAACTTTCCTATTCTACCTATACCTCCCATTCTCCAAGTTAACTATTTCATATACCTTCTTTGCTTTTAAATCTCCAATGCCTTATCCTAACTTAGATAATAGCCCTGTTTATTAATCAATAAATTCTTCTACCACCACCAAACCTTCTAGTCCATGTGTTTCTATTCCCACATTTTTGCTCTTCTTCTTACTACAGTCAATAAACTTCTTCCTTTTTACTTAAGACCAGTCCCTCTATCTCTCTAATTGTATCTTTTTTGGTCACTGTTTTTCATGGTATTGAGGACTGGACTGGAGGCAGAACTGCCACATGCTAGG